CGGTATTGAATTTCGATTTTAGTATAACGGCCGTTCAACCTTTCACTTCGCCCATCAAAACTCCTGAACTCGTGCTTTTTCTTTGACTCGTGATTACACCTTGTATAGCCTCATTGACGCCCCCTTGTCCGGATCGCCCGCTATTCTAGGAAATTGGGACACTAATTCATGTATTCTCTCATAGACAGGTGAGCGTCAAACGGGGGTTGTTACATGCATTACGGCCTTTGTTTGCTGCATCCACGGAATGATCACATCGCGAATCATATTCACTGGCAGTAAGATTCCGGTTGAATGACACAATACTAGATGGATATTATCCATTTCGCTTTCCCCCGTTATTTACTCACGCCTAAGATTTGTGTAAGCTAATGATAGAGGCATCTTGCCATTCATTTCTTCTCTGGGTCGAGTCTTTGTCGTTTTTTCCCCCATAATTGTCATACATTTACTTCCTCTAAGAATGCGTTCTCTTAAAGTTTCATGACGTATATAGATTCGGTTAGCGCAATACATTATTCGACTTTCCTAGGAATCGTTCACCTTCTGCAGATGAGACACAAAGAACAAAGAATAGGAGACAAGCCAATTAGATAAAGTATTGTACTCTGCCATGAGTCTTGCCCTCACATGTGAGAATCCGCAATTAGACTGTGGATCCCTTATTGTTAATTATCTCTATACATTAGGAGTGCTTTCACCAACGGAGCAGCAGTTTGGCTAGGAATTTATTACATCTTGTTTTATTAAGTTAAAAAAAAGTATCACGGCTTGAAACTAAAGTACATTTTAATGTCATCTGTCTCATATTTGTGTGTTAGATCGTTTGTAGTCTAAAAGTATCTATGTATTCTTTGCTCACATGTCATTTACTATAAGTGACAAATGGAGCGACATAAGATTGCATTTCCAAATAAGGATATTTGCTAAGATATAACCGTCAATAACAATACAATAATTCATCGTTTCGCCATTAATGATTACCGGTTTTGACAGCGCATCAAAATATTACTGTTTAAGTTTATCACAACGTATTTCTATTGAGTAAATATCATCTTGTATTTTGTCTGCTCAACATCTATGTGTTAGTCAATCACTGTTCACATCAGTTACATCAATACATCAACAGCTAACCCAAAGAAACTATAAACAACATGAATAAAGGAAGATTGAATAGAAAAACAAGTAAAACGAAAAGTATAAGCAGAAGAAGAAAAAAAATGAAATGGCAAATACACATTAATACTATGTATATTAACATGGTGATGCAACATTCTCAGTGGACAACCGTCTTTGTGTGAGAATGTTTGGCCATCTAATCATAGATGTCATAATAAAAAAAATATATATATATATAAAGAAAAAAAATATTGTAGATGACGTAAAGCATCTGTCAATGAATCTGAACTATTTATAGAATGTTTGCATAAAGTTGACTAACACAAAATGATAAGCCGTCTACAATAGGATCAAAGCAATTAATAAACAAGTGCATATGACAATATCATCTAT